GACAGGCAGCTACCCTGAGCTACTAGGGACAGCACCTGGGCGTCCGACGCGTCTTCCTTGGGATTTCTTCAACCCCAAAACAGACGAATACTCACCACAGTACCGAAACCTCGAGCACACTCAGGCCATCAATCCTGGCCCACTGCAACACCATGAGGATCTCACTGTTAGCCCTGACCAAGTTCTTCCCAAGTCCAGAAATGAACAGGTACCCTCCACACCTACACCCTCTAACTAAGGAGCTAAGGGCGGGGGATCAAAGTCCTCTGGCTGGCAACTCGCCCTCTGTCCAGACGTCACCCTTATGGGAATCAAGGCCAGCTTCATCTAGCCAGTCTCATCCTAATCCACAAACCCAGGAAAGAGATTTTTTTTTTTTTTTTTGCTCAGGCTGCCTGAAGGTCAGGTCTGGTAAGGCAGGTGGAGCTGGAGATCGAACCGTGGTACCCTGCTCCTGACCGCCTTTGCACGAGTAGGTGCTTAAACAACTGAGCTAAGGGCAGGTCCCCAGAAAGAGATTTTTAAAAAGTCTATGGGGAGTGAGCTGGGGAGACAGCTCAGTGATCTAAGCATGGGCCTGGCAAGTGTAACGACCCAGGTTTGATCCCCAGTACTGCATCCACATGCTGTGCTGGCCCCGGAACCCTGGGCATGCTATGCTGGCCCCAAGGCCAGGTGTGGTGGCGCATGCCTGTAATCCCAGCACTGGGGAGGCTGTGACAGAAGGATCACTATGAGTCCGAGCTACACAGAACCTGCACCAAATAAATAATTTTTTTTTAATTAAAAAATTTTTAAAGCCTATTTAGCTCTGTGGTATAAGCACCTGCTTGGTAAGCACAAGGTCCTGAGTTCCATCCCCGGTACCAAAAAGATAAAAAGCCCACGGGTGTTCACAAGCATCACCCTCTACTTCCCTTCAAGGCATCTGACCTTTCCTAGGGATGTCATGCCTTCACACAAGTACCAGGAATAAATGAAATCACACATCTCCACTCGCATGCTTACTGCAGCGCCGTTTACAATAGCAAGGACACAGAATCCTTCCATGTGTCCGTCAATCGGTGAGTGAACTACGAATCTGCAGTGTCACCGTATAACAGAACACTACTCAGCCATAAAAATAACGAAGTCTGCCATTTGCAACGACATAGCCATTGTGGAGAGCAGTATTTTAAGTTAAATATGTCAGGCACAGGCAAGGATCATACAGACTCACTCGTGCAAAATCTAGAAAAGCTGATCTCACAGAAGGAGTGAAATGGCGGTGACCGGAGGTGTGGGTACTTAAGAGGTGGGAGGGACAGGGAAAGGCTGGCCAAAGGATATGGAATCATAGTCAGGTATGGGGGAGAGGAAAAGCAGAGGAGGCAGAAAGAGGGAGACAGCGCTAGACAAGCCCGGGCCTGGGCCAGGTGTGCTGGGGACACTGGGGTGACAAGTGTTACTGTCTAGATGTAACTGTCCCCCAGGAGTCTTCACTGTTTGGAAGTCTTACGTGACTGGATTAGAGTACCATGTGAGTGGATTCATCCACTGGTAAGTTCAGCACCTAAATGTGCCTTTGAAGGCGGGGCCTGGCTGGAGGCCTGGGGCGACTCAGAAGCAAATATTCTTCTCAGCTCCTCCCTTTTCTCACTACATCCTGGCTGCCCTGCAATGAGGCAACTTTCCTCTAACTTGCTCTTCTTCCACGCACTTCTGCCTTCAAGCCAACCATGGACTGAACCCACCAGAAACTGGAGCCAAATAACCTGTCCTTTACATTGTGAGCATTAGGAGTTGTGTTCCCAGGGATAGGAAGTGACCAGCATGGCAGGGACTGGAAATGGCTCGTGAAGGTTCTGGAACTTGTATTTCAGATGATGCCAATGTACCAAAACTGATTGTGGTGCACAGTCAGTTGTACAATGCTGAACATATTAAAAAAAAAAAAAAAAAGTGTGTTGTACCAATGTAAACAGGTGACAAGCACGATATGTAAATTATGTCCCCCAAAATGCTATATAAATAAGCAAATTAGGCCAGCCAGATAGCTCAGTGGACCAAAGCACCTGCTTAGGCAGGCACAGGGACTGAAGTTCGATCCCCAGCTTTCCATGCTGGCCCTGTCCCCAGGGCACACTGAGATGGCGATTGAGACTGGGCGTGGTGGCATACACCTGTAATCCCAGCCCTTGGGAGGCTGAAAACAGGAGGATCACTGAGTCTGATCTGTGTAGTGAGATCCCAGAGACCCTGTACTAAACACGTTAAAAAAAAAAAAAGCAAATTAGCTAATACATAAAAAGGGGCTCAGGGCAGTACCCGACACACAGAAAGGCTTGCAGGCGCCAGGTAATCTCACTCAGCATATCACCGGGAAAGACACTAAAAAATAACCTGTTTAATCAAACCACACACCCAGGCCAAGGCCTGTCCCTCTCAGTCCTAAGTGCAGAGCCAGCTCAGGTAGCAGGGGACACACCTCAGGGTTAAACAGTCACAGTGAAGACAGGAACACACGGAGGCGGCTGGGAGTGTGGTGCCAGACGACGCATCTGCCACTCCTGAGCAAACAGCAGAGTGGAGTATCTTGAAATGAATGCGCCTGCCTGAAGACGCTGACAGCCCGAACCACTTAAAAAACTACTTATCTGCCCCCACTTAGAGCCTCATCTCAGTCTTTAC